TTTTAAGACCCTAGGAGGCGTTCAATCGACTCCACGGTAATCCGAACGGTACCCTGTGTCTGTTGCCGACTCGACAAAGACACTCGGCAGTTCCAAAATATACGACCCGGCTTTTTACAATAAAAAATCTTTCTATTGTTGCCAGGACGCCTCATTTTTGGCGTAGCAATGTACGAGATGTCTGTTGGTCCTGGATATTACTTGCGCTTGCCTTAGTACGAAGCCAATGCACTTGGCTTTCTTGATGCTGAACTTTTCTTGCGTCGCACGGTGGATGACATCGTCCAGCGTCTTGGATTGCTCGCGGTACAGTTAATTCTGTATCTGCCAATCATTCAAACTCGCCATGAACTTTACAACTTGCGCTGAAACGTCAATTGGCTCGTCGAAAATGCTCGATACCAAGTAGCGAGCACGCTGTGCATGTAACCAAGCGTTTGGCCTTCTCGACCACGATGATATGTCTGATCATCCGAGGTATGCCATGGTTAAAGCGCTGTCAGCATGGACTGGATGAAAAATGATGATCGTCGTCAACAAGTCGTATAGTTCTTACTTAAGCTGCACGACGACGGACGTAATGATATGGGCGTATGCATCTGTTGAAGATATCCGAGGTGTCCCAAGTGATATTCTTGTGTGCAATGCCTCCCATGTTCACAGAACAAGCTTAAGGAGACGAAAGTAATGACGCCAACTGGGGGCGGAGCAGTCGTGCGCCAGAAAAAAGACTGTCTATTATGCCATCGACATAGAAGTCATAGGCAATGATAGTATAAAAAAATTATGGGAATAGAGGCAAAGACCCATTCCGGTAGAATGAATGAGAAGGCCTCCAGAATTATATTCCGTCAAGTATTTTGCGAGCCTCTGATCAAGGTACAAGTTGTTCTGATGGAGAAACGATCTAGAACAAGACACCTTGGGCGAGTTTGTAAATATCGTGGCTAACAACAAAGAAGGTAACGTCGATGTTAGTCATCACGTGAAGACTGAAATTTCCAAGTTCAGTCAAAGATTTGTTATCCTTGCTACTGATGAGTAAGAAGACGAATTCCCGCAAATATGTGAGAATATCGAAGCAGTAATCGACCAATTCGGAAGTATTTGATGAGAAGAGTTGGATGAGCAGTCGTGGACACGTTAAGGGGACCTTCCGTGTATGGATATGTCAAGGAATGCGCTGATATACTTCCGGACAGATTGCCCGACGAATTGCCAGCTGACAGAGGTATTTGTCATGAGACTGACATAATTCCTGGTTTGGAGTATTGTATCACACGGCACTGGTCGTAGCCGAAAGCTATAAGTCATTGCAGTTGACAAGTTCTTTGCACAGGGCCAGAAAGGCTGGTCATGTGCGTGAGAGCAAGTCTTCGCGTTGTAGTCCAAATTTATGTGTGAAGAAAGCTGCAGGCTTTTGGTCCCTTGTTCATGCAAAAAAATGAACGATGCGACCATACCAACCCAGGCTCCGGTTCCACGCTAGGATCATAATGGAATGGTCGGCAGTACTGGCTCTGTGCGACCAATCTAAATGATGGCTTTATACGAGTGTACGAAAGTGATACACCACCAACTGCAGTCAGTACCCCCAGTGGTATGATATAGGAAAGGTTAGGGATGCCACAAGGTTTGAAGAACGCCCCCGCTGCTCTTAACAGAATCGTCACGAAGATTCTTCGTCCATTGAGAGAGTATGCACCAAGTTACTAACTCTTGCTGTACCCCCGTATTCAACCGCATAGTATAAAAATTCGTCGTGTACTCCAAAATGGTGAACACGCGATCTTGTGAATACGGAACACCTTACTGTGCTTTGTTGGAAGGTCATTAGAATACCTCAACAAGTCCTGACATGTCTCATCAGACTTGTATCCTTCGACAATTTCTTCACGCTCTGTAGTCAAATCTTGCACTCTGATCGTCTGAACATTTTCGCAATGTCGAAATAACTCGCGCATGTTTTCGCTCCTGGACCTTAAATCTAAATTCGGACATCATGACAACGCATCAACCAAGATACTCGTCTTGCCTGACTTGTATTGTACAGCAAATTTGTACTCCGCAAAGAAGAAAAACTATATATATATCCAAAGAAGGAAAATTATATATATATGCAAAGAAGGAAAATCATATATATATTGAAAGAAGGAAAACTATATATATATGAGCCATTATCTACGATAAATGTGGTGTCTTTCCTGCCGAACGCAGCGAGGCATGATCTGTATAGATCGCAAATCGCTCATTTTCAAGCAAGCACACACGTAATTTGACCGGAACATACTTCATTGCTAGAAACGAGTTGTCATGAGCTGAATAGTTACGTTTCTCGAGCCAGAGTTGTGGCAACGGATACGAAACACCTTGCTCTTATTTCTAATCACCGAGTTGCATCGACCCAAGACCAATGACATCGTCACTCCATCGCAGATCACATGAATAACTTTTCGTGGTTGCAATCGCAAGGATAGGGGCTTCTATCAAGCTCTTCTTACTTCGACAAATACCGCCTGGTGATCTTTTGACACCTTCTCTCAACGCTCTTCCTTAGAAGAGTCGTTAAGGGTTCTACCAACGCTGTATAATTGAACGTGAATATGTGCAAATAGTTGGCCAAGCCCAACATGTTTCACATCGTTTGGCACAGGCCAATCTCTGATAGTTTTGACTTTTTCCGGATCTATACGAACGCCACTTTTGCCCACATAAATGGCGCTTGTATTACGAAAACGACGATATCAGGTGCAAAGAAAACGCACTTTTCAAGTTAGCGTAGAGCTTATTCTCTCGCATGTTTTGGATGACATAACGAAGATGATCAAGATGAACAGTGACATCAGACTTCTTACCCGCTCTCTTTTTATAAACGACATAAATAAGCTGGTGCGCAAGTATATGAGGACTTGTGAGTTTACCAGAGAGTGAAATCATCGGGTCCCACTCAGGCCCCACTTCGGTCGTTGGCAGTGCCAACTGACAGCTGGAAGTCTATGAATATGGACCTCCTATTCGGACTTCGGCGTGACACACATGGAAGCAGTGGGGTCCTTGTGCTAGTGGAGAGATTCAGCAAGATGGTTCATCTTGCGCCTGTTTCGGACAAAATTTCTGCCGACGCGACAGTTAAGGTATTTGTAGACTTGTTCTCCGTCAGCATGGCCTTCCTGTTGAGATCATTTCTGACCATGACACCCGTTTCACGTCAAAGTTTTGGCGCGCACTGTTTGGACTATTGGGAACCAAATTGTCCAGGTCAACAGCGGCACACCCTGAAACGGATGGTCAGACAGAGCGTTGGCACCGGGTCCTAAAGGATATTGCGTAGTTCCGCTACGTCGTTCAAAGAGTGGAATGAATTGCTTCTTCTTGCAGGTCTTGACAGGTCAATCTATGTGAACTATGGTATCCATCCTAGAGTATCTGCCTCCACAAAAAAACAAGGATATACCTTAAGTGTGGGCGGGTTATGACTTTGGAGCCACAGTCAGACCGAAATGCTGTCACAAGGCTAAAGTTTTACTCAATGAGACCTCTAGACGGTATGACAAGTCGTTAAAAACACCACGTCGATGGCTTTATTGTAAAGAGACAAGCCGTTGGGCGGGTTGTTTGAGACGCAATTACGAAAGCTCAGATCTACAAAGAGAACAAACAGATTTGAGCGGATGGAAGAACAAGAAAAAATCAAGGTCAGTGATCTTGTACTACTTAGCACGACAAATCTGCCTGAAAATGTAGTATCCAGCTACTAAGCTTAGACTGTTGCTTGAAATAATATCACGGAAGCCAGATCTTAGTTTTGTTTGGTTGTGATTGGGAGTTTTGTCAGCGCCGATTCGGCGAAGTAGAGGACCCATGTTGTTTTCGTTCTCCAGACGACCAAATGTCCACCAACAATCCAGCTTAGCTGCGATGGGGTTGATCCGGCGCTAAAGAAATAATTGTTCCATGTAGAACTCCTTGTCACCGTATGGGTTGAGAATGGACGAAACATCAAAGAGTTCGGAAGCTGTTCTTTGCCGTTTAGGCAAAGAAGGCCTATAATATTGGCTTGTTTACTTGGTCGCTTCATTGTTGATTGGAGAGTGAACACCCCCAAATTGTCTGCCGAAGTTTCAAACTACTTTCAGCCTTATGGAAGAGATGATATAAAATAATCCACATTTTCATTTTGTGAAGGTATATAATTTTGAATGCCTTGAGGAAATTTAAAAAAGAAGATTACAGTATGGTTTTCTCAAATGCATACATGGTTTCTTATATGAATTCTCAAACATTCTTTGTGATGCAGACTGCTGTGTCCTACTTGTGGATCTATACCGGGGACGAGACCGACGTGTCTCTGTCTTTCGGAGTGGGCGGCGTAAGGCAGTCACTTTAACTGAGTTCTCTTCACGAAAGTTAAAATTTCAGGCTTTTCAAGCTAGAGCTCCGTACACCAAAAAAATTGTAGATGTTCAAGCAGAGCTTCAACCTCAGCACAATCTCGCTTGAATGTATCACGAACCCAACGATTTATCAGTTAAAACCTATAGGGTCTCTTGGGGTGTTTTGCATATAGCCAGAAATCATTAACGCTTTTTAATTCACTTGCAAATTTAACTTTAAGCTCTTGAGTCGTTATTCTTTTCTCTAAAGTGGACTGATTGTCTCCCTCCACGTCTGGAATGGCTTACTCGTGGCTGAATCCTGTCTGTTGTGTTCGAGGGACAGGTGTGAACAGCCCCTTCTTACACACTTGGTGTATGATCAAAAGCGCACATATC